CCTGACGTTTCGACTGGATCGTCTTCTTCAGAGGCCTAAAGTGGTAAGAGATCAATGATTTTATGCCTTATCCCACCAGAAACCTCTTCCATCCTGGCTAGCCTCGACTTCACCCCCGAATGCTACAAACGAAAATACGCAGAGACGTGAAAGACGAACCATCCTCCTCCCCCCGCTGCCGCGTAGATGTTGAATGCGGCCGTCCTCGAGTGCCACTAGTACTATTAGTGAAATATGGTCATACCGTGTTGACACTAATCACTAGCGGCATTCTTCAACTCACATAATTCCAAAAAAGGCATAAAGTCATTTGTGATTGACGCACACTCATTTCGGCTGTTCATGCATGGATTTCTTGCGAAAATTCAGAATGCCTCGAGAGCTTTTCTACTAGCAGTGTCATACTCGTGTGCCAGTATAGTACATCTGATTTCGAAGTCTTTACCACAGTGGAATTCAACTCTGTATTTACCGAGCGGTGTGGTAAGACTTCCCCGTCTCTTGCTGGCAAGATGTTCTTTCATTCTTACCCATAACGGTCTCCCAGTCTCTCCGATATAAGTGGCGCTGCACTCAATACATTTGATCTCATATATCACACCGATCTTACCGCAGTCACCAACTTTACCGGATGGACAAACTACACAGTCTTGGATTCTGCAGTAGTTGTCGCAAAGTCTGTTACGTACTAGCCGCTTCCTGATGTTATCACTTGGAATGTCAATCAAAATGACATCGTTTTCGAGGTTCGCGTGTTTAATGCATCGTCGCACTATAGCATTAGTCGCGTCAGAAACGAAGAGTTTATCTTGAACTTGAACTGAAACTTGAAACATATGGTGTCAATGTGGAAAAAACTGCCTTTTCAAAATTTTTCCAAAAAATGTGAAAACATGTGTAATAGGGTTCTTATGGACGCTGAGTTCAATACTCAACTATTCACAAGATTACGAAGTTCTCTAAACGGTTTAATCGCACTTTTTAAGAACATTGAAAAAATGGCCGATACCTCTTACCTGGCATAACTCTTTGAAGCATCATAACAAGTTGGGAACTTTACAGTTATAATCAGCAACTCTAGTTAGCCTAGTGTAAAAGTTTTCAGGCTGTTTTGTCTCTTTTCTGAAACAAAATATGGCCTTTCATTGCTTGAAACCCTTTTTGAAGTTTCTACCGTGATCCTACAGTAATGAAGAGAGATGGGTGATTCGTTTTTTAATGCAAATCTAAGTTGAAGCCAGCTCTATAAAACGGTACCTGAAGCAAGGCAAAAGACTTCTTGGAAAGAGAGATCTTAACGATCAAACGTTCGATACATTTTTTGGGACACCCTGTACAATAGCACCTGAACAAAAATTTATTGAGGAAAAGTGTTATACCAATACAATATGCAATATGTTACTTACCTCAACCAGTGCTAGTGTAAAAGTCGTGAGAGATGACGTTAAGCCAACCACGAGCATCTGTCCACCTTAGTGCAGCGAAATATATTTATTCTACAGATGAGTTTGAAGTAGGTGACTGCAGAACAGATAAAAATAGGAAATGCGCATGTCAGTGCCACAAATAAAGTTGTAAACGTATTGAACTCTAAAATATCAAATCAATGTTGATATGGTATTCGCAGGGAAAATATCATCATATAAATTAGTAGGTGTAGGATTGAACGGTAATGATTGTCACTCGACCCCAAGCGCGAATGGCGTACTGTAGCATTACTGCCCTTAGCTGATTGATAGATCAATTTTTACGCTTACATTTGCTTTATTTTGCTATTTGTCAAGATTCGCAGTTTTTATTTACAGATGGACACATGAACGCATTTTCAGTATTTTATGATGTTCTTGGGACAATTTAAATTTCTAACAGAATATTTATGATTGTCCCATGAGGATTCAAGATACAAGGAGGCTGAAGGTCAAGAACCCGTGAAAATGCAACTATCAGCGTTTTCTTTAATTTCACAAGTTTCCGCCAAAAGCGGTAAAACTTGCAAGCCGTAGCTTCAGACACTTGGAAGGCCGGAGCACTTTTTCTGGCTTCTTGGAAGACTCTCTCAGCTCTGAATTGGGCTGTTAAAGAGTCCACCCAGATTTCCTGTTTTGTGGTCGTTTGGGGGCCTTCTCATGTCCCTGATTTCCAGTCTGAAGTCGAAAGTCCGTGAAAATCCCGAGTTTCCCCGTTACGGGGAACCCGCAGGCCGGTTCTCGGGGTGATTGGATGGGCGGGAACAAATGGGCGGGTATTACCGGAGGGGCGGTGCCGACTTGAGGTCCTCATGTCTATTCGCTATTCCGAAGCGATTTTTTCGCTTCCAAAGCGCCATTCTGCGGTGCGAATTGTAAGCTATATCGTAAGCTACCAAAAGCTCAAGACGCTAGCTCAAGGTGACAGTACCCTTCAAACTCTTGACCTTTCCCTTCAGATTCATGTTATAAGGTATGCGTGGAATGATTGAATTTCACTCCTTCACCATTCAAGCAATGGATTGTGTTGAAAGATTTGGTGAAAGAATTTAAAAAAGGAGTGATGTAAAACAAGAACTTTACTATGACATGATTTTCAATCAAGACTTCTTGAATTATTGAAGAAAATCTGGGTTAGTTTTTCAATGTAGAATTCGACGAAAATATAGGAAAAATGAGTAGAATAAGTCATGCTTATTACGTAAAACATTCACTTTCATATTCCAATATTCATAGATATGGTTACTGAATGAAGGAGTGCGTATATTCAAAATCAAAAGTAATAATGTTGCCTACCAATGGTTCCGGTAAAATCTTCATGTATCCTATGGTTAGGCCTCCAGCTATATGAGGAGCAATGTAAGAATGCGTTGGTAATAAGTACCAAGTCGATAACAATGGTAAGTAGAATATAATAGCTACAAGTTTTTTCCAGTGGTACTCTCAAGTCTGGAAAAAAGAGACAATTAATGGAATTACAATGTGAAAACTTTCAGGCCCGTATGCACGTACATCCCCGCTGGGGAGGGGATCTGAGAGGGGATGCATCATATCTCGCTACTCTAGGTATCTTTCTTCTTCCTTTTCTATCTTGCTTATGAAGGTTCTCATACCCTAATACTTGCGCATAATTGATGCCAGGTTACTGGCATAACTGATTAGATTTTTACTATTTTGTGTGATCCCCAGGGAATACCGAATATTTCGATATTCTGAGATTCCACTTATTTCTACTAAAAACATCTTTAGCAGTGCCGTGGTATATCCACAGTACAATTTTACAGCGTTTTCACTCAGTTTTCAAAAAGATAAATCACTTTGAAAATGAGAGGTGATCCCCTGGGGATCAGCAGGGGATCCCCAGGGGATCACATAAAATAGTGAAAATCTAAATAATCACGCCAGTAACCTGTGCATCAATTATGTGCAGGTATAATGTTATGAAAACCTTCATAAGCAAGATAGAGAAGGAAAAGAAAGATACATAGAGTGGCGAGATATGACGCATCCCCTCTTAGATCCCCTCCCCTCCCTAGCGGGGATGTACGTACATACGGGCCTCAGTCTTCATGACTTCGAAATTTTCAATCTTTTCTGTCACAAATTCGCTCTCTAAATTGGTAGCAAAGAATAATCACCTCATTATATGCTACGGGAACTAAAACAGCTGTCATTATATTGATAGAGAGTACGGTAGCAGCTTATAAACTGCAGGATGGAAATCTCCCAAGACGGTGTTCCCCAAGAATATAACAGTTCTTTACAAAAATATCCAATCTCTAGGAAGCGAGTGGTTGACATATCAAAGCACCACATCACAACCACCTGCAAAGAAATTGAATTTTGCTCAATTTTTGAATCGATCCAGATTCTAAACTACTATTAAGGCATAAAGCATAGATCCTGAGAAATGCTAATTATAGGAATGGATTGCCGCTCTTCATAATAAGAACAATGGCAATGTTGGCGTAAAGAAATACAGTAGGAATACCGTAGATCAGAGGTATATAGAAGAAAAGTTTTTTCCCTAATTTGTGCTCGGCAACTTCACATTTTTGCATATTCTCAGTTATGGAAACAGTTGGTCCATCTAGCTAGGAAAATATTTGGTCACTAAAATTAGCGCAAGTGTAGTCTTGGGAGCTGAATGAATGACATTTGCTCAGACAATGGATCGGACCCCTCCGCTGGGGAAATGGCAGGGTCGCGGCGTTTCCCCAGCGGTGGGTCACCCATTCGTCCGGCGGAGCCCTCCCATTTCTCCGGCGGAGACCTCCCATTTCTGCTCCGGATACCCCCCATTTTCTGCTCCGGAGACCTCCCATCTTCTGCTCCGGATACCCCCCATTTTCTGCTCCGGATACCCCCCATTTTCTGCTCCGGATACCTCCCATTTTCTGCTCCGGAGCCCCCCGATTTTGTGCGCCGGAGCCCCCCGATCGCGGCATACTGTAATTAGCCCTAATTAAAGGCAGCTTTCAGGCAGATCTGGACCTATGGGGCTTTTACATGGAAAGTATTTTTGGGGCCCTAACTAAGGCACTGCCGAAGCAGCAGTTCAGGTAGTGCTCTAATGGCGAATATATTCCCCTCGAAACAGACCCCCCGCGAACGTATTCGCATGGATTCATGGCAGTTTCGCGCTGCGCCATGAATCCATGCGAAACACGGTCGCGGGGTCCGGTTTCGAGCAGAATATCTCAGGCGTTAGAGCACTACTTGAGCTGCCGGTTGGGTAATGGCTTAGTTAGGGCCCCAAAAGTACTTTCCATGTAAAATACCCATAGGTCCAGACTTGCCTGGACGCTGCCTTTAAGCTCCAAACTCCAATTTTGTCTCTAAACCCCACCCAAATAAGCCGAATAGGACCTCCCCCCCCCCCCCCGGGTAGGAGTTTAGCGCGACCCTCACCCCGTACTCTACCCCCTCCCTCTCACCCCTAGCGTTTGTGGATAGAAGATAGAAGAAAGAACGAAGAGATAAGACATTTATTTCAAATTTTTCAAACTTTCGAAAAATCTATCTATCTATCTCCAGCATACGTACAACAGTTAATTCATATTACAAAAACCATACTAGGAATTAGAGATAAGAATATTCAAAGAAAAGCTAATTTCCTAGTTGCAAAAAGAACCTTGTAACACCACAGTACAAACATATGGTTTTAACATGGTAAGAAAATGACAAAAAGATCAAAAAAGCATTCTGTGCAATATGAAACAAAACAGCGAGGAGCGCCATAAACTCACATTTGCAAAGCAGGGACATATTGTCCAAGTTCGATATATACATAGTTATATTCATCCAAACATCTTCGAATTCCGAGGTAGCTTCACGAACTTGAGCGAAGATGTCACGGGCATCTTGCCACATTCTTTCGATGCTAATACGCAGCCTAAACCAAAACATACGGTTTTTGATCGAAAAAGAAGTAGCAAATTAGTCATTTGTTCCGATACGAAACGTACCTATTCCATTTGCTGCCCAGATGTTTTTTGGCTCAATTTTCAACGTCTCATGGACCCCAAATCATTTTCAAAATCTCATGGACCCCATTTTGGGTGATCGGTGCCTTTGACCACAAATCACATCAGAATGCTAACTCACTTCACATGAACAATGGGTAGTTTCCACCGAACTACTCGTGCTTTTTCGTCATAATCCTCCAGCCATGCTCGTTTGATCTTCTTCACGTCGACATCGCAAAACGATACAACGCGTTGTTTATCACTTTCGGAAAGGGACCTCGAAACTGACTCACCTTTGGGAATGTAAGAGCGCAGATTCCACCTCACTTGAAAAATCGCTTTCCTTGTTTGCCAGCATTCCAAATTGTGAATGTTTTCCAGAAAGGAAGCACATGACTGCAGAAGCGACTAACACGCATGTTCCATATAGCAGCTTCGGAAACACCAAAAGAAGCACATCCGGAGTGAACGATAGTTCACTAGGGGTTTACATACCTGAAGAGACGAAAGCAATATATATGCATTACGGATTTGCAAATAACGTACTTTAGAGAATGCAACATCATCGATGTCTAATGCACGGTAGAAAAAATCGAGATCTTCGGGAAACCCAAAGCGCACGTCGTCTTTGAAACCGCCTACCGCAGAAAAGAGTTTTCTTGAGATGAACCATGTAGGAGCTATAAGAGTGGGCCCATGCGACGTATACACCTAAAGTAGAAGCACATTCAGCACCGATGGGCAACAACAAGATTGTACGATCCGAGATTATACCTGCAATTTCAAATCTTCGTTTGTCAAATCATGGGTCCATTTAGTATAGCGTCTATAGTATCGTCTATTATTACTATAAAAACGACAAAACTTGAGGTACCTCCACTTTCCGTGCCACTACGTATTCGAAAACCAACATTCCGTTCGTGAAACCTTGATATAAGTGATTCGGCATACGTTACAGTCGAGTCAGTGCTTCCATCGGCAGGCCCCATTTAAAACTACACAGCCGGCTGCGCGAGCGGTCGCGTCGCGTATCCACTCTGTGTGCTTGGGTCACGCTTGTTCAGATCGCGCCCAGGAAGGAATATTTCACAGTCATTCAGAAACGATTTTTACTCCGAGTTTGATTTCCCAACTGCACCTGCACTGCTTTTTAGAATCACCTTTCAGCCTCTCGATTACTCAACCCGTGCAGGATTTTCGGTTTGTGGGTTAGGATGTGACGCTTCAATTCAGCTCAATCGGCAGGTGCACATAAGGCAAACCAAGTACGGAGAAGTGCCGAATCGGATGCGAAGTCTGGGTGAATGCGATGTCCAAGGGAATCAAGCCATTGGAAACTTTGACGTCTCAATAATTTTTCTACACTTCCGTATAAGCAAATGTTCACTGAAAGTTTTCAATTGCATTCACCTGGCCAACGGATCTGTTATATCTGAATTTGTCCTTCTTTGATTGAAGGATACTCGAGTATGCTTTGCACATTTAACTAACGAATTAGTGTATGTGCTTCATCTCCTCTTGAATCACTGCACTTGGAGTTCGAAAGACACAGTCATCAGCTGTCAGGCAACGTGTGACCGTATTTCTGTATTTGATTCACAGAGAAGATGATCACATATTCTAAGACTAAAAGACTCGGGCACGCTTTGCACATACTGTCTAAACAAGTTTGATTGTGTGATTAGCAACTTTACACTTGTGATCTATCTATTTGCTACTCTGAAGTAGGGAGGAACGAGTACCTACAAAAGCTTGTTGAGACAATATGTGCAGTGCTGTGAAGCGCGAATAAACCTCGGAAACCTCAAAACCTAAAACCCCAATTTACACCTCGGAACCGCGGGCGTTATAGTGCGTATTCGAGTCTCCTAGTTTCAGAACAGATTATGCTTATCTTTGAAACAAAACATGATACCAGCTTCAAGAATGTGCACGTCGTATCAAACTCAGCCTCAGAGCACGATGATCCCATCAAAAATAGCGTTCCAACAAAACAAGCAACGCTAATATGAATAGTGCTCTGAGACCAGAAGGAGCTTACTTGAGCAAAAATCAGCAGCAAAGGAGGAGCAAAAAACAATAACAAAAACCAAATATTCTTTTCCTTCTTTGCCTTTTGAGGTGTAAAGATCATTAGCGATAACGTAAATCCAAAAGCAAACCTTAGGGCATGCCAAACATCCATTCTTGCTTTTTCAAACACGTTTTTCACTGGCACAGCTTAGCCTTAGTTGGGCAAATAACTTGTCAAAAGAAAGCAAGAACAGAAGAGCACACAGATGCGCCGTGGGGTTGGTCACAATCACTATTCGAACTTTCTTGCAGAAATGTATGAACCATTCTCAATCTTCAAGCCGATGACAGTGTCAGATAGGAGGACGCAGAACTCTTCTCGCCAATAGAGTGGATTTATGGAAGTATGCATGAAGTGGTTATGTGACATAAATGTCATTCTATCCTGCTATCTGACTCGAAAATGATGAGTCCCAGCAAGCGTGACCCAAGCACACAGAGTGGATGCGCGATGCGACCGCCCGCGCAGCCGATTGTGTAACAACACTAGATAGTTGCGCAACTAACCTCATTGTTTCGAAAATCCAGAATTAATCACAAAAACCACTCCATCAATAGTCTACGATGTCTCAGCAAGTCGGAAAGAGCCAAACACTGAAGGTGATTGAGTGCAACCGCACGAAAATTTCAAACATAAACCTGAAAACGAGGAACTTACAGCAACGTAAACGCCAACGCGACGAAGAGCAACGCGGAAAAGGAAAAAACGGTAAAGAAACGCGCAAAAACAACAGAATCAAAGAAACGGCGACTAAAATATGGACAAAGAGCGTAAACAGAGGACTCATCACCGTGGAGTTAGACGTTTGCTTGCTACGCGCCAAATCGATACGCAGCCTGCTCCGGATACCTCCCATTTCTCCGGCGGATACCTCCCATTTCTCCGGTGGATACCTCCCATTTTCTGCTCCGGACACCTCCCATTTTCTGCTCCGGATACCTCCCATTTTCTGCTCCGGAGGCCTCCCATTTCTGCTCCGGACCCCTCCCATTTTCTCCGGCGCGACTCCGCCAGATTTGCCAGGCTCGCGCCGGACAAATTTGTCCGGCGCGAGCCTGGCAAATCTGCCAGGGTCGCGCCGGAGAAATGGCGGACCTTTGCAGCAGGGCCGGAGAAGCCTCCCATTTGCCTGGCAGTGATGTCACGCGAGGGACCGCCCATTTGCCCCGCTCTCATTGGTCAATTGGGTCCGGCGCGAGTCTGGCAGTTTCGGCTTGCCCAGCGGAGGGGTCCGATCCATTGTCTGAGTTGGTGCCACCCACATCGCGCTTGATTTCGCTCCTCCTCCTTGTTCTAATACAGGGTGTCCCAAAAAAATGTATCGAACCTTTGGTCGTTAATATCTCTTTTTTAAAGAAGTCTTTTCTCTTGCTTCAGGTACCAATTTGTAGAGCTGGCTTCAACTTAGATTTGCATTATAGAACGAATCACTCATTCCTCGTCATTAGTGTAGGATTACGGTAGAAACTTCAAAGAGGGTTTTAAGCAATGAAAGGCCATATTTTGCCGTAGAAAGGAAACAAAATAGCCTGGAAGCTTTTACATAGACTACTTACTCTTCATTGAAGACTTATGCCAGGTAAGAGGTAGCGGCCATTTTTTCAGTGTTCCTAAAAAGTGCGATTACACCGTTTAGAAAGTTTCGTAATCATGTGAATAGTTGAGTATTGAACTCAGCGTCCATAAAAAACCCCAATACACAAGTTTTCACAATTTTTTGAAGAATTTTGAAATGGCAGCTTTTTCCACATTGACACCTTATGTTTCAAGTTTCTACCGTAATCCTACAGTAATGAAGAGAGATGGGTGATTCGTTCTATAATGCAAATCTAAGTTGAAGCTAGCTCTACAAAACGGCACCTGACGCAAGGCAAAACTTCTTTAAAAGAGAGATATTAACGATCAAACGTTCGATACATTTTTTGGGACACCCTGTAGAATGCGCAGACCAGAAATCACGCATACTTCTCGCACGTGCGTGAACATTTATAAGAATGCGTGTTCACTGCTCTACTAGAACAAGAGCTGCGGGTCTGCTCTATGGAAGTGCAGATCACTCAAAGGATTTTTCAACAAGATTTGGCAAAAATGAACTCTGCGTTTTCTGAGAATTCGTGTCTAACGAACCAAAGCGAAACGATCCAGCTAAAGTTTGGCTTGATTATCCCATTATGAGCAAGCACATAAAGACTTCGTTTATCTATCTATTTAGGCGCACCTAAAGTGCTCTAATTAGCAAGGAGCGGTTAGTCACAAACAACAAAACCAACATAGCATGTTAATGGCATTTTGAAGATCTAAAAATGCATTAGTCATTGGCATTGGTAAGTTGAACAAAAAGCAATACAACAAGCACTCTACTGTGCATCTTATTGTCTTTCAAAAATCAAAAACCAGCTTTATTTGAAGGACCGGCGAGCCTATGGACGGAAGCTAGCTGGTTTATGTAGCCCCAAAGAATGAGGTAGAACATATTCGAAAGTACAATACTAATAGAAGAAAAAGGGAATTTGACAAACTTGTGATGTTGTTACAAAAAAGCTTTATAGGGTGATAGGGCGTAGGAGGCATGCCCATGAGAGAAGAAATTAATGTTTCGGTCGGCAACTTCAAGAAAAAACACTCCAGCAATATCTTTGAATTCTGACAGCTGTAGCACATCCACTTTCTTCAAGGCAGTTCTAAGTTGACCATCGAGTTCAAAAGCAAGAAGGTAGACGCAATGTTGAGGATTGAAGCTGTCCTATAGGAGACGTTTTTATGTTGCAGCGATGAGTGCCGTCCAACCTAAAAACCGTCAAGTTTGAGAGTCTCTACGTTCATTAATAGATCGAAAGACCTAAAAATTCATGATCAGTAGCACTGAAATTTCACTGTGAAGTGCGAGTATTATCTGGCTACTTCCGCGCATAAATTTGTTTGCGCAAATATTCTTGAATTCGGTGATCAGAGTGGATAACAATTAATTCGAAAAATAGAAGCAGTTGACTTTGAGTCAAGCACTTCTTGCTTGCTTTATGCTCGAAGTTACAGACCAGGGCTCGGTAGCACAGGTGGCTTGTAGGCAAGCTAGATATAATTTTTAAAATAAAAAGCAAAGGGATAGTGTTTGATAGTGTTTTGTGGGTCCAAAATTAGGTTTTTTTTTGAAATTTTTTAGTCGCGTTTCGTTTTTTAGTAGATTTATTTTGGAAGGTCAGAACTCGAGAAATTTCGCGAAAGTCAGGGGTCCGATATTGCATTTTCGGAAAACCACCTCCAGCCAGTTTTGGGTATAACTTGTGGTACGGCAGAATATTCATTGAATTTCTAAGTAAGTTTGTGCAAGCCAAATTCTCCTTTAGTGCGATATTGAAATTTATCTTACATATACAGGGCCTCTCAGAAAATGTCCCGAAATTTCGATTCGAAATCTTTTCTCGCACTGATTTTCAGCCAAACTTAAAGTGAAATTGTGTATTGCTGGCTTCAAGTTAGATTCAAAGTATGGAGAGAAGCACCTATCGCTATCCGTTGCTGGATTGCGGTAGGAACTTTTAGCATCATGGTGTCCTTGCAAATAAGCAGCAACTTTGAATGATCTCGAAACAACTGATTTTTTTCGTGGTTAGTTTTTAAAGACGCTGATGTTAGCAATTAACTTCATAGAGATTTTCGACGCAGTTCAGGCCATGCGAAGAGGCCAAATGATTCATGCATCAGCAATTTTCGTGTGCGCGAAATAATTTTCGAAGGAACGTTTACAGAGACGTAAGGGGCTTATTCAAATTTAGCAGCTTTTTGCGAAATTTCCAGCTTTTTTGCAAAGTTTTTCTGAGACAGATCTGTTTACAACGTTGCATCACCCCTCTCCATCATCCCACCGTTAATTAAAGACTATCGTTTACAGTACATACTTT